CCCTTCCCTCCCTTCCCTTCTCCTTCTCCTTCTCTCCGCTTCTCTTCCTACTCTCCGTTTCCAGCTCCATCCCCAGTATCTCATCGAACCCACGAGCTCTGGCAGGTTAGCGACGAGGAGCAGGAGGAGCCAGAGGAGTCCAGCTGTCTAGTCCTTGGGAGGTCCCAGCTGGACGCGAGCTTGAGGGAGAGGAAGAGGCCAGTGGTCAAGCTCGACCTGCAGCTGAAGGGAGCGGCAGACATGACAGAGGAGCAGGAGGTCGCGCTCGTGGAGCTGATAGCGAGGCAGAGGAGCTTCCTGCAGGAGTTGAGGGTCTCGTCGTACCGTCCGAGAGCAGGAGGAGACTTCCTCCTGGCCGTTGCCAGGCAGCGTGTGGAACTTCCCCAGCTGCAGATCCTGTCAATGCAAGGGTGCAGCTGGGTGAGGAGAGCGGGAGAGGAAGAGACGGTCTGCTCGCTGTTTCGCAGCATGCGAGCTCTCGAGTCTCTCGACCTGTCCGGCTGTGAGCTGGGGAAGGAGGGGGCAGGATGGTTGGCCCTTCTCCTCCCCCAGCTCCCGCAACTGCGCTGCCTCCTCCTCCGCAGCAATCGCCTTGAGCGGGAGGGAGTGGAGGACCTGTGCCCTTGTTTCTCCTCCTTAGAGTCACTCGACCTCAGCGACAACCTGCTTCACGCTGAGAGCATGCCGTTGGTGACCCTCGACCTCCCCAGCTCCCTCCACTCCCTCCTCCTCAGCGGCAACCAGCTGTGGGAGGGAGGGGCGGAAGTGATCGCGGATGCCATGAGGAGCTGGAGGAGCCTGAGGGTGCTGGAGCTGAGCGGATGCTGGCTGGGGGACGCGGGAGCGGTGGAGATCAGCATCGGCATGACCGCGTGCTCCCAGCTGAAGAAGCTCGTGCTCTCCAGCAACAGCATCACTGACGAGGGAGCTCGAGCGATAGCAGAGGGGGTGGAGGAGATGACGGCGACGGTGAGCGCAAGCTCAAGCGGCTTCGTCCCTCCTATCCTGATGTTCCTGCGCTGCCGATCCTCTTCCATCTTTATCAGCACTGCTCTATCCTCCTCCTTGATCCGTTTCTTGGACCTCCCTTCTTCCTCCTCCTCCTGTATCCTCCTCGTCTACCTTCCCCTGCTACCCCTTCCCTCTACCCTTCTCTGCCCCCTTCCTCTACCCCCTTTTACTACCCTCCTCCTCTATCCTCCTCCTCTACTTTTCTCCTCTACCCTCCTCCTCTGACCTCCTCCTCTACTTTTCTCCTCTACCCTCCTCCTCTATCCTCCTCCTCAACTCTCGTTCTCTCACGGACACGGCAGGAGTTGGAGCTCAACATGAGTCGCAACGGCCTCACAAGCGCGGGCTGTGTAGCGCTCATCGAGCTCCTGCTGAGGTAGACAGGCAGTTGCGCGTGGTTGACTGACATGGAGAGGAAGGTGCGAGGGTCTGGTATCGCTGGACGTAGGAGACAATCTTGTGGAGGATGAGGTAGAGAAGGGATAGTGGAACGACCGTGGGTCTCACCTTCAACGCAGGAAGACGGGACGATGTTGGGGGAGGCGTTGGTGGCCGTGGGGAGGGAACAAGGGAGGAGTGCGACGAGGAGCGATGGGGAGAGGCGGGAAAAGACCTTGAGGATGATGAAGATGAAGATTGCAAGAACAAAAGCGCTAGAAACAACTTTGTATGATTGCAAAATAAAGCTTCTCACTTCCTGTTCTTAGTCTCTCCCTCTCAATTAGATCCGCTGTCATGCGCTCATGGGAAAACAGCTCAACATCCTATAAAATGTATCTACTCTCCCCGATGAAAGGTCTGCTCACTCATTCTCAATCTGCTACATTCTTCTTCACTATCTTCACATCCCCTCCTCAACTCATCTGGCCTCCCTCCCGGCATTCCCGGCACGTGTTGCGCCTCCGGCCGTGCTGGCAGAAAGAAGACCCTCCGCATGCCCGGCATCGGCTCTTCTGTAGTCGATGCATGCAGATCGACGACCCCCCGCAGTCCTTGCACACGTTCCGCTGCCTCCCATGCACGCACAGCGACGAGCCCCCGCAGTCTCGGCATGTGCTTCGCCTCCTGTTGTGCTCGCAGATCGAGGATCCTCCGCAGTCGCGGCATCGGCTTCGCCGCCTGTTGTGCTCGCAGAGCGAAGGCTTCCTCCTTGCAACGACTGTTGCGGTCGGGCTGGAGGCGCTGGAGGGGCTGGAGAGGTCTTGGGCGGGGGGATGTGCATGGGAGGGGAGAAGGTCGGGGAGGAGGGGCGGGGGGAGCAGCTTGGGATGAAGAGACAGGGAGGAGGAGATGGAGCCGAGGCTCCCGTAAGGGAGGAGGTCGGCGAAGCAGTTTTTCTCCACATGGAGCAAAGCTTCGTCGAACAATGCCATGTTTGCTGTAAAGGTCGAAAAAGGGGAAAATTAACCGGACAGACAGAAATATTTTCAAACACTGTTTGTCCAGATCATAGAGACAAGAGTCTAGTATGATCGCTCTCAATGACGATTGAATCCAGCTGCAGCACAATGAAAAATTGTAACTTCCAAGACAAGGTGGGGGGTGGTCACGAGGCTTGAGCAGGTAGGTCGTCTGCCCCGAAGAAAGGTCGAGCAGGGCGAATGAACAAGAGCAACAGGGGAAGATCAGAGTAGGAGGGAGCTGTCAGGGAGTTGCTACTGGAGGGGAGGAGGAGGAGGAGGGAGGAGGGAGGGGATGGCGTGTGGGTACTTGGGGGGGGAGCATTACTAGTGTATGTCGGACAAGTTGACAAATTATGTGACCACCCCTACCCCCAAACGGAAGTTAATCTTTGGTGCGGTCGAAGCGAAAATCACTACCCCACCCTACCTTGTGAAAGATTAGTACCCTCACCCCCAAGGACCAATTTTTTTTTCAAAAGTCTGGTACCCTACCCTCACTCACGACCTGTTCACAGTGAAAAGTACCCCTATCTTGTGATTGGGAAGTAAACTGTTGGTGAGGTACCCTACCCCCTACCCTAGTTGTCATAGTATTGCGGGGTCACAACAAGATAACAAGATCCGTAAAGTCCCCCGGTACTACCCCACCCCCACCCCCCACCCCCCACCCCCACTCACTAGCTCACCGCCCCAAACGGTCCTCAGTGCCCTCGAACTCTCCCCGGAGCCTCGGAGCCTCGGAGCCCCGGCCCGGTGCCCTCGGCCCGGCCCGGCCCCGGCCCCGGCCCGGCCAGGGTCATTGAGGGAATTGAGATTTTCTTTTTTACTTTTTTTGGGGGAGATTGCTCAGTCACGTACCAAGAGATGATTGGGTATCTTGGTGGGTACTTCAGAGCCAAAATGTAGGGGTGGGGTAGTCATGGAAACATTTTTTTTTCGAATGCGAGTACCCCTATTCGTATCGGGAAAGAGGTAGTTAGAGCGGGGGGTTAAAAAAAGTTTCTAGGGGACAAGGTGATAGGACCTCCAGTAGGACCTGGGGGTAGCAGAAGAGATGGGGACGAAAATGAAAACCTTGTAATCGTAGAACGAGCGAACAAGAAAAATCGAATGTCTGCTGAAGACTACGAGTGAACAGCCTACTCCAAGAACAACCGAGCCTCTACCTCCCGTATCCTCCAAGCTTCTGCTGAGAACAAGTACATCTCAGGCTAGCACCTGATGGGCTCGCTAGTCTGCCCTGGGGACGGCTCCCCCTGATCCTTTGCGCGACTTGCTCGAAACCATACGCGTCACTGCGTTTGCAGAGTCGTTGTACAAAAGCACAATCCTCAATCTTCCTTGTAGTGTGAGATGGAACCTTGTCCTTGGGATCAGAACAGAACAGAACCACGGTGCCAACTTTGATTGAGATGAATGACTTGAAAGATTGAAACTGCCCGCATGCCACTTGTCGTGTAAGGTGATAAATGCTTCTCGCCTCTCCTTCTCCTCCGCCATGATGTCATTCCGAGACGTTCTGTCGGCAGGCTCCATTAAGAGCCAGCAGGATTCGGACAGGCAGTCAACCCAGCCCCAAAACACCTGCCGACCACCAGACGACGGTTCTCTCTTCGAAGAAGCCTTGCTGCACGTGGAGAAAAACTGCTTCGCCGATTTCGTTCGTCCTAGGGGCCTTGACTCAGCACATCTTCCCGCCCAAGACCTCTCCAGCCCCTCCAGCGCCTCCAGCCCGACCGCAACATCCAACGAGGAAAAGGAGTCCTTCGTTTGCGAGCACAACAGGCGGCGAAGCCGATGCCGCGACTGCGGAGGATCCTCGATCTGCGAGCACAACAGGAGGCGAAGCTTATGCCGAGACTGCGGGGGCTCGTCGCTGTGCGTGCATGGGAGGCAGCGGAACTTGTGCAAGGACTGCGGGGGGTCGTCGATCTGCATGCATCGACTACAGAAGAGCCGATGCCGGGCATGCGGAGGGTCTTCTTTCTGCCAGCACGGCCGGAGGCGCAACACGTGCCGGGAATGCAAAGGGGCAACCAGTTCAGGAGAGAAGCTAGTGAAGGTCAAGTCTGAAGCTGAATCCCATGATAGTTCGCTTGCGGGTCGATCCGAAAGACACCTACCTGATCGTGACAAAAATTGATGTGAAGAATCACAAGAGAAGCGAAAGAGCTGATCTTGATGGGTGTAAGTTACCGTTTTCAGAAGAACTGGAGGATTGGTTGTTTGCGCTTCGTTTTCACTGACAGACAGACCATCTGTCCCAATTAAGTTTCCTGTTAAATGACAAGTGAAGCAGGGTAATGCTTAAATGCTTGTAGCTTTCCGAGTAAAAACACTAGAACTGATATTGTAACCCCGAGCCGCGACTGGCTCCGCCGGAGTTCAGTTCCATGGTTGCTCAGTTGGCCGTGCAGTCACAGTCACAGGCTGCGCCGCCGGAGGCTCCAAGTTTCCTCAAGTGAGCCAGGCTACCATGGTTACAGTGTCGTGGACCGTCTCGAAACTTCGGAAGCGGCCCATTGCCGCGCCGCCACTGCTCGCCGAGGTTCCGAAGCCTACTGACTCGGTGAATTCCGGGCCGGCGTCCGACACGTGACTCAGCGGCTGACTGAGTGCGGGCCCGGGGATCATGGGCCGATGATCATCAGTGGCATGGGCCCGGGCCCCCGGGGCCCCGGCGGAATCAAGCCCGCCGAAGTTTTACGGTAAGGCGTTGCCGCGCCGAGTCCGGGCCTGGCGGCGCCGGGCCCGGCGTGACTCGCCAGTACGGTCCGATCAGTAGTCACGGTGGCCCACGCCGTGACTCCGGCAAGTTTTAAGGTTTCAAGGTTTACCATATCAAAGTTTCAACGTTTCAAAGTTTCAAAGTTTCTCCCCTTCGGAGAGTTTACGTGGCCCATCATGCCCTGTAGTCCTTCGAGCGGAAAGGGAGGGAGGGGGGGGGGGGGGGGAAGGAGGAGGAGGAGGAGGAGGAGGAGGGAGCGAGGAAGGAGGAGAGAGAGAAGAGAGAGAAGTGAGGACGACGAGGAAGAGAAAGCAAGACGAAGACGAAGAGGGAGGCCAGGAAGGGGAACGGAATGAAGAGGATGCAAAGGGAAAGGGCGAGTCGAGAGAGGGTGTGAGGAATAGAGGGAGGATCGGGAAGGAAAGAAAGAGGGGAGGAGAAACAGGGGGAGAGACACAAGGGAATATACGCAGAAGAAAGATGGACAGGTTGTTAGCAGGCTGCGAGTGAGGAATGACCTGGAAGGGGTTGCTGCAGTCAAGGTCGCTGGAGTTAAAACCACCCACCACATCTCCACATCCTCCCTCTCCCTCCCCCTGCTCCCGGCCCGGATCAACCGGAGAATCGCACCCGAAGAGTGCCTCCTCCCTTCTCGCCGCCTTGATCTGACACCTCTGCAGGACCAGTTGCTGCCATGGCCTCCGTCTACTCGAGTTTCAGGGGTCAGCAGATCTTCATCACAGGAACCACGGGATTCGTAGGGAAATGTGTCCTGGAGAAGGTGTTGAGGGAGCTGCAGGACGTGCAGACTGTGTACATCCTGATCAGAGCGAAGAAGGGGGCCTCTCCCCAGCAGAGGGCGCAGAGGGAGATCGCTACGTCGCCGATCTTCAACCTGCTGAGGAGCACGGTGAGCTCCTCTTGCTCCCCCTTGGATCCCAGTGACTGCCGTGGTAGATGGACGACTTCGACGCCTACTTCGAGAAGAAGGTGGTGGCCGTCGCGGGAGACATCAACCAGGACTTCATGGGCCTGTCGCAGGAGGACCTGGCCCGTGTCTCCTCCTCTGTTAACTTTCTGATCCACTGTGCGGCCAACGTTGACTTCAACGAGAGGCTGGACGGGGCCATCACGACCAACTGCCGGGGGCCGCTGAGGATGATGAGGCTGGCGGAGAGGTGCCCCAACCTCAAGGCCTATGTACACGTCTCCACCGCCTACGTCAACTGTAACCGTCCGTCGGGCTCGCTCGTGGCGGAGGAGCTGCCCCTGTGCCAGTCCGATGGCGAGCAGGTGATGAAGGAGATCGAGAAGCTGGCGGTACCCGAGCTGGAGGCGAGGACCAGGGCCCTGCTGCAGGCCGAGAAGTACCCGAACACTTACACGTTCACCAAGGCGATGGGGGAGAAGCTGTTGCACAAGTACCACGGCAATATCCCCGTCGCTATCGTCCGGCCCACCATCATCGGGGCAGCATGGAGGGAGCCTGCGCCTGGCTGGGTCGACACCGTCTCGGCAGGAGGCGCTCTGTTCCTGAGCGGAGGCATGGGCTTCATGCCAGTGCAGTCGGGCGACCCGGAGCTTGTCGGGGACCAGATTCCAGTAGACCTGGTGACCAACGCGATCCTTGTAGCGGCAGCAGAAGCCTGCAGCAAGGGCCCGGGCTTCTTCCGCATCTACCACAGCGGCAGCAGTACCAGGAACCCCGTCCGATGGTCGCTCTGCGCGGAGGCAGTGGCTCGCTTCTGGAAGAAGCGCCCTTCATCCAAGAGCCAGCTCAAGTGCCAGTACACCATGGTGAAGAATCCGCTGGTCTACCACTGGCGATACCTCCGTCTCGTCTCCCTCCCCGCGCTCGCCCTGGGGGTCTACTCGAAGCTGTCGAGCAGCGAGCAGGTGAAGAAGAAGAGCGCTATGTTCAACAAGGTGATGAAGAGGAGTCGGACGCTAGCAGAGACTTTCCATCACTTCGTCAACAACGAGTGGTTCTACGAGTCCAAGAACCTGCTCGCTGCCTCCGCCAGCATGCCTGACCGAGACCGCTCCTCCTTCCCCGTCGACCCCGCGCCCATCAACTGGCGGCAGTACCTGGACGACTTCAGCTGGGGACTTCAACGGTTCATCCTCCGAGATGACGTGGCGCCTTGCCGGCACCTTAGTGACGCGTTGGAACGAGCTGGGAAGAAGGGAGGGCTGTCGTTCCTCTCCGACCTATCCTTCGCCTTCGCCTACAAGGTAGGAGGAGGAGGAGGGAGAGGAGGAGGAGGAGGAGGAGGACGGGGAGAGGCAAGAGAAGAGGGAAACCGAATACGAGGATGAGAAGGGGACGAGGACGAGGACCGAGCAGGGAAAGTGGATGTGGAAGGCAGGGAAAGAGGTAGATCCAAGGTGGAAGAGCAGTCGGGAGGGACGAAAAAGTTTCTTGTCACCTGCTGTGACAGGTCAAGGATCGCTCGATGCTCGTCGTTCCTCCCACGAAGCAGATCGTCTCTCAGATGCTCGCCTCCCCCGCAGTGCAGCAGCTGCTGAAGACTTACGGGAAGGAGAAGGTGCTGGCTGTGCTGCAGGAGATGACTGCCTCCTTTTCCCTGCCGGCCATCCGCTTCATGGCCTGGCTCATGTCCAAGGTGAGTGGGGAGAGAGAGCAAGGCAGGGCAGGGCAGAGGAGGAGAGAGAGAGGAGGGGAGGGGAGGGGAGGGGAGAGACGCACGCAGCTGATTCTTCTGGTGGCAGTTGAACAGGAAGCTCTTCTCGGAGGTGCTTGTCAACGAGAGCTCGCTGCGACACCTCCAGGACATGTCGGCAGACGATGTGAGTCCAGGAGGAGAGGAGCAGAGCAGAGGGGGAGTGAGGGAGGAGGAGGGGAGGAGGAGCTGAAAGGGGCAGAGGAAGCTGGGGAATGCTCAGCTAACGACGAGCTGGCAGTCCGTGGTGTTCCTCCCTACCCACAAGAGCTACTTCGACTTCCTGCTCGTTTCTTGGATCCTCTTCGTGTTTGACATCAAACTCCCTCACATCGCGGCTGGTCAAGACTTCCTC